GGTCTTGCAAAATTCTACCATACGAGTTCCAGCATTATTTCTGTCACCAAGGCCAAATTTTCCAACTACCGGTGATTCTTCTTTGTTTTTGCATTCCAGTCACCATAGTATCTCTATTATATATTTTATATAAAATCTCTTTTTAGCATTCATATTTATGCATCATTCTTTAAGAGCAAATCTTCTGTTAAACATACTCAATACCCATCTCACTCTAAATTTCTTATCAATATATGGGCAAATACACATATATGCAGACATACACCTATGCATATATGCATATTGTGTGTGCTTGTGTGTGTACACATGTGCATATGTATGTTGTCTAAAACAAGTTATATCTCTAAACATTTACGAAAAAAAAGGTTATCTGGAAAACACTCATCAGAATCTGGTAGAAGTACAGCACTGAGAACTTCAAACTACAAACAGATGAGACCTTAAACCTCTACTTTCCTTTCAAATGAACACATTTTTCCCCTTTAATTTTACACTGATTTTCAGAAGAGTTGGAAAAGCTTACTTAAAAGAGAGGTTTTTAATACAGAAAAAGCAATCTTTAGGAGTACCGGTAGACCAAAGCCACTCCCCTCACTATCAGTGGCTTGATTTATTCTGAATAAAACTCAGGCATAATAATTTCATATACACACATTCTTTTAGGTTACTATTTAATGTCATTCACAAGGCATTTCAGCATCAAACGTTCCTATTCCAATTTGCCCTGACTGAGCCCCAGACGCACGTCCTCTCACTGCAACAAGGACCCAGCATATGATTTACCTGAATCTGCGCTATGTCTCAGTTCCTGCCTTTGCACAATTGCAGCAATCTGGGAGCGAAGGAATGTGAGTTCATCTTCCAGGGCAGCTATTTTTTTAATTGCAGCATAGTTTACAGGTGGATCATTTTTTATCTGTTTGTTACATCTTAGACCAGGTGACAACAGATCCCAAGCTAGTTGCAAAGGATTGAAAAATTCCATTTTCTCTTCTTCACTTTCCCACGTACTATTTCTGTGGATGGAAGGAAGGAAGAAATGGAGGAAAAGGGGGATGGATGGAGAGAGGGAAGCAGAGAGGAAGGGGAATTTTCAGTCAATAGAAAAGAAAATCATTTCATGGAAAACAAAGGATACCAAAACCAAATCAGAGTTCATTCCCCCAGGACTACCTCGAGACTCCATGAGAGTGAGCACATCTTACTTCACTTTTTATTCTCAATATGCAGAACAGACTAGAGCCCTTAATAGACCTGAAGCCAAATCCACTGCCACCAAGTCGATCCCTACTCATAATGACCCTACAGGACAGAGTAGATAGAAATGCCTCAGAGGGTTTCCAAGACTACAAATCTTTATGGAAGCAGACTGCCTCATCTTTCTCCCACAAAGAGCCTGGTGGGTTTGAACTGCTGACGTTTGGGTTAGCAGCTGAATGTTTTAACCACAGTGCCACAGAGTTCTTTGTAGCCCTTAATAAATGGCCAACAAACGAGGTCTAAACAAATGAACAAACCTTGCTTTTAGATTGTAAAACAAAAATAATTATCCTGTAACTCTTCTACCTATCAGGTTTAAACACAGTACAAATCAATTTATTTAGACATTCTATGAAAGGTACTAAAAGGTCTAACATCCAGTACCACATTAAGGGTAAGCTTACAGTAATTCTAGCTTTTTGAAAATTGATAAACCATGTTTACTACACAAATTTGGCCAGAATATTTGAATAGCTGACACATTTCATTTTCTGGCCATACTGGATAATATCACTTCCTGTGCTTACAGCTTATATCTGAATATACTAATACGTAAGTTAGTACTCCTACAAGTAACACATGCAACTTTTGAGACATATGTAGCATCATTGCCTGGGACACAGTAAGCACTATGTAAGTTTTGGCTTCACAAAGATATAAAATAAATCTGGTATCCAGTACAGGGAGCAGCTTTCTCCTGAAAATGAACACAGCACTTCTGCTATCCCTTTTATACCATTCCTGCCTGGGCCTGGTGCTCCCTGCTTAGATTTCGATGAAGTGAGGAGATATTAGTAGGACAAAGCACAGAAAGAGGCAAACTGAAAAAGCTCAACCAGTATGAGGAAACTTCAAAAGCATGAAAGCAAGAATGCAGATTATGCCCTACATGCCACTTCCCAGAAGCAACACCCAAAATTACCGAAACCTGAGATGACCAGCTTCTTCGTCATTTGTCACGTGCAAAATATCAGCAAAAGATGGAACGACAGATCCACGGTTGTCAGAGTCCACAGAGTTCAAGAGCTGGATCAACTAACGTAAAGAAAAAAAAAAAGTCACACCTGTGCAGGAGAGTGAGGGGGAAGACACACACGGTGGAAATTAAATCTGTTAATAATCCAAAAGGGTGAAAAAGGAAATGGATATTCAGCAGAAAAGCATGCACCTATTGTTGTTATGTGCTATTGAGTCAGACCTGACTCATAGCGACCCCTCCTTGAGTTTCCCAGGCAGTATCACTACGGAAGTAGATTGCCCCATCTTCCTTCCAAGGAGTAGCTGGTGGGTTTGAACAGCCAGCCTTCTGGTTAGCAGTCAAATGCCTTAGGCACTACGCTACCAGAGTTCCCATGCACCTATTAGCAAGAAGAACTACTAGGAATGATGTTATTCTGAAGCCATGTACCAGTAATCTCCTGTGGTTAATTCTACCTGCTGTAAAGCACAAACCAGAATAAAACAAGCTGCCCCGGTGCTGCTTGGAACTTGACCATCTTTGAATGCAATCACTTAATGAAACAGTTAACTCACTGGCCCATGGAAGGCTTTCTTTCCCAGGGTAAACCATAGGTTTTCGGAGTGCCAGAAACTTTCTCCATGTTGTTCTACCTTACAGCCCTAAGAGTGTCTAAGACTACTGTATGCACAGTGCCTAGGCGATGCATGTGGACTGACTTACCTCAAAATTAGGCCTCGGACAAGGTTCTAATGGAAGAATTTTCCCAATAATGCGAACGATACTTCGAGCTGATCCATATTCTTTGTCTTTCCAAATCAGCAAAATCTATTTAAACATAAAAATTGTTTAGCATGTATTGTGACTGAGCCTGTTTATCTATCTATGAAAACAGCAGAGATAAAAGAGCATTAACATTTATTTTAAAAAAGAATACAGATGAAGTACTCTTAAAATATTTTCTTCAAAGAAGAGGGGGAAAACTAATCAGGTCCCAGGCAATTCAAGGAACTGTTATTTATTTACAGTGGAATAGAACTGTGTGGAGCCAGGTCTTGCAAAAATGTTGTTGTTGTTGTTATGTGCCATTGAGTCGGCCCCGACTCATAGCGACCCCTCCTTGGGTTTCCGAGGCAGTATCACTACAGAAGTAGGATTGCCCAACCTTCCTTCTGAGGAGTGGCTGGTGGGTTTGAACCGCCAGCCTTCTGGTTAGCAGGCAAGTGTCTTAGCCACTATGCTACCAGAGCTCCCATACCAGAAGTAAAATATGCCACTTGAATACTATTTTGTCCATTAGCTTAAGCTTCTCATATTAGTGTCAACTATTCCCACAGGAAACCGCCCCCCCAAAAAAAACATGTATTCATTTGGCAGAGATTTTAACATAAAGCATCTCTCTTTTAAAAAGCATTAAAAATGGAGTTTTTACTTTTCCTAAGATCCCATAACAAGGATAAAATTTATCATGAATAAAAGACATAGGTACCAAATAAATTCTAATTTTCACTCTCAGAGTCCTAAAAGAGCCATCCAGTAAGCACGTGACTACTCAGTTCCGGAACTCGGAAGAAACGCTGGGATTAGAAAGATGGATCTGGGACTGACTGGTATACAGAACACATAATGTAGGTAAAACTCAAAGCCATAGCTCTAACAAAGAAAAAGGAGACGGAGAGAAAGATTTAAAAGTCCCTAAAACAGACTCCTTCTGCATAGAGTCATGCCGTTCTTCTACTTTCCAATGATGATGGTTCTCAATTTATCTGATCAACTCTAAACACTTTAGACTAAACTGGAATATTAAGTGCATTAATCAGCTTCATAATCTTTCATCAATTGTCAGCCCAATCTAGGTAACATAATCCATGCATTCCATATTTATTCTCAAATCACCCTTTAAGGTCATCTGCAACTATTATCTACACAGTCAATATCCCACCACTGACTTACAAGAACACACGTTCTTTTGGAGTAAGCAATTTTCCTCATGGTCTCAAACACAAACCAATATTATCCTAGTTGCCATGCATTTACCATATGCTCAGAGGGGGTTGATCTAACTCTAGGCCCATGCCGATCCAGGTTTTACCTGTCTTTTAACGTCCAATTCACAGTCCTCTACAAATTCAATTATTTCCCCTCTTGTGGGCTTCACAGGTTCTGAATTCCTAAACTAGCTCCAGTGAGCACCCCACCGTATGGCACATGTTGCTTTGGTTCATTTGCAGTTGTCTCTTCCCTAGCTGAGGTCCCTGGGTGACACAAACAGTTTACACCCAACTACTACCCTAAAGGGTGTCAGTTCGAACCCACCCAGTGATGCCATGGAAGAAAGGCCTGGCAGCAGCTTCCATGAAGACCACACAGAAAATCTACAGAGCAGTTCCACTCTGTCACACATGGAGTCACCTTAGGCTGGAATAGACTCCACGGGAATGGTTCTGGTTTTTGGTTTCTCCCCCCATTAGACTGTAAACTCTTTGATGGTAGGACAGGTTTGAATTCCTTTTGAATTTTCAGGGCAGTAGCTCTCAACCAGAAACATACTAAAATCACTTCAGATAGCGCAGTCCAAAATATAACAAAGGCATATATGTAAATTTGGGAGCTCTGGTAGCATAGTGGCTAAGACACTTGACTGCTAACCAGAAGGCTGTGGTTCAAATCCACCAGCCACTCCTCGGAAGGAAGATGGGGCAATCTACTTCCATAGTGATACTTCCTCAGAAACCCAAGGAGGGGTCGCTACGGGTCGGGTCTGACTCGACAGCACATAACAACAACAACAACATATGTGAATTTAATATTCTAGTAGTCCGAGATAGTGGCGGAAGTGGCCAAACCGGCAGGGGGCTCTAATTCTTGGGACGTGGACATGGTTTTTGTGGAGGATCCAGTGCAGGGGCACGGGGGGAGGGGCACCATCAACAGAAGACCGCTGGGAAGGCAAGGAAGAGGATGAAGATGCAGGTGCTTACTCATTTATGCCAAGAAATTTAGAAGACAGCTACCCAGCCAACTGACTGGAAAAGATCCATATTTGTACCCATTCCAAAGAAAAGTGATCCAGCAGAACGTGGAAATTATCAAACAATATTTTTAATATCACACACAATTGCTGAAGGTAATTCAAAAATGATTGTTGCAGTACAGCAACAGGGAACTGCCAGAAATTCAAGCTGGATTCAGAAGAGGACATGGAACAAGGGATATCACTGCTGATGCCAGATGGATCTTAGCTGAAAGTAAAGATACCAGAAAGATATTTCCCTGTGTTTTCCTGACTATGCAAAGGCATTTGACTGTGTGGATCATAACAAATTGTGGATAACATCACAAAGAATGGGAATTCCAGAACACTTAGTTGTGCTAATTAGGAACCTGTATACAGCCCAAGAGGCAGTCATTTGAACAGAACAAAGGAATACTGCATGGTTTAAAATCAGGAAAGGTATGTGTCAGGGTTGTATCCTTTCACCATAGTTATTCAATTTGTATGCTCAGTAAATAATCCAGAAGGTGGACTCTATGAAGAACACAGCATCAGGAATCAGGATTGGAGGAAGACTCATTAACAATCTGTGATATGCAGATGACACAACCTTGCTTGCTGAAAGTGAAAATGACTTGAAGCACTACTGAAGAAGATCAAAGACTACAGCCTTCAGTATGGATTATACCTCAAAAATCCTCAAAATTGGAGCAATATCATGATAAATAGAGAAAAGACTGAATTGTCAGGGATTTCATTTTACTTGGATTCCCCAATCAACACCATGGAAGCAGCAGCGGTCAAGAAATCATATGATATATTATACTGGGCAAATCTGCTGCAAAAGACCTCTTTAAAGTGTAAAGAGCAAGGAGGTCACTTTGAAGACTAAGGCACGCCTGACTCAAGCCATGGTATTTTCAATAGCCTCATGTGCACGTGAGAGCTAGATAATGAATAAGGACGACCAGAGAAGAACTGATGCATCTGAACTGCGGTGCTGACAAAGAATACTGAAAATATCACAGACTGCCAAAAGAACAAAGTTGCCTTGGAAGAGGTATAGCTGGAATGCTCCTTCGAAGCAAGAATGGCCAGACTTCGTCCCATATACTTCGGTCATGCTGTCAGAAGGGACCAGGCCCTGGCACAGGAGATCATGCTTGGTAAAGCAGAAGGTCAGTGGGAAAAAGGAAGACCCTCAACGAGATGGATTTGGACGGTGGCTGCCGTGATGGGCTCAAGCACAGCAGCAATTGGAGGATGGCGCAGGACCGGGCACTGCTCATTCTGCTGTACACAGGGTGGGCGTGAATAGGGACCGACTCATTGTGCTGTACACAGGGTGGGCGTGAATAGGGACCGACTCATTGTGC